CTGGAACCAACTGTCTCAACTCCTGCAAATGTTTTACACTTTGCGATTTATGGCTTGAATTCACACAAACCATGCACAATAGTGTATTTGCACTCTTGGTCTTATCTATTTGGCACAATGCATTTTGGACATCATTAGGTATTGATTATGACCATCCTTACACTCAGCATCAGCTGACCTTGCTCTGGACTTCCGCTTCACATCTTTTTATGGTACCAGGCTGGAATTTACTGATAATAGATTTCCATTCAGGACCACTTAAGTTGAAACTGAGGTCAACACCGAGACTTCTTGTTTTTAACTATCAAAGTTACAAAACATTGTTGGTTACATTTAAGTTCAATCAAGAGTACCGTAGAAGCAATCTGCAAGACTTGTACCACATGATTTAACACTGATGTAGCCATGGAAGTGATTTTACAACCTGAATTTAATGGTTTGGAAGGGTAAAGAAATTCATTTGTGCAAAGTGTGTAGGTTAATGTTTAAATCATGGGTAGAAGATCCACTAAAGCCACTAGTGCAGCCAGGAATTGTCACTCTTTCACACTGATTGTTTCGCATAGAAATGGCAACATGATACTTTTTTATCAGAAATGTTGTTATACTGCACAGTGCTATGGTAAACTTTTTGTTTTATGTTAAAACATAAAACAGACCGGTTTTCTGTTCATGTGGTTTGTAGCTTTCTGTTACAATTTGAATTTGAGGATTATTTCACTTTGAGCTTCATCTTGAAAGTGGAATTCGTGCCGCTTTGCAGCTTTGTGTCGCATAGAATTGTAAAGTGGCTATTTAGTACTGCATAGAGTGAGTCATTATCCTAATACAAGGGTAGAGTTAAAATCGGTCAATCTTGACAGCATTAATGGAGATTTGAAAAAGTTGGAAGGTAAGGATCGCCTGGATTCCTGTTCAGAATGGATAAGACATAAGAAAATAAATCAGCATTAGTCAGCACTTTGCCACATGTTAATTTGGGGCCTTTTTCCTCCATTTGTAAATTAACCGTTTGGCTGAATTCAGCTGCTGATGACGGCATGCCACCCAGAAATAGCTGCAGGATTTGTTGCCACAGCAAAATACATTTTAGATTAACTGTAGATAGCAGGGCAGACTTCAGTGCTGTCATCTCAAGAAACCCATCAGCCATAAATAGACCCCATTTTGGAATCAGTTCATCAGTTAGATGAGTATATCAGCCAGTTTCTTGAAGGGAAATGTCCCCCCTTTCTTTTCCTCTGGAATCAGGCGATGCGTATTTTGGCGAGGGCCCAGCTTCTCAGCTAGGGTCACGTCTGGCCCGGACCATCCTCATCCAGATTTTTTTTTTATTTTGTCCTCTTCTTATTTTCGTTAAAAGGACATTCATTTCTCCGGGACTTATTAAGCAAGACCTAAGTAGACAAAAAGCTTGTTTTTGTATTTTAACCTGCTCTTGCTGGTCCTGGAACTGAATCTAAAGAGATGAAACAAATCCAGTAAGAGGTTTACATCCTCACTTAATAGGAAAAAATGCCAAAATACTTTGGGACTTTTAATTACGAAGTTCAGTTCTTCTTTTCTGAAGTGAAATTATTATATAGCTAACAATACCAACAATTGCTAAAATGGGAATTGCTTCAGGTCATTGTGGATGTTCCTTAAGGTCTAAAATATACAGAGAAGCTCAAAGTTATTCTAGCACCCTTTCTAATAGATGGCTAAAAGCCATTTAGCAAGTTGTGCTTCAATCACATGCTTTGTGTACTCATTGATGAGTTGTCATTTTAGGTTGTGAAAACTCTCCTTGGAAGAACTGGTTGAGATAATTTTACGTAGTTTTTCTTGACTGAACCTCATTTTAAGTGTAAGCCATAAGTTTTCCACAGAAATGAGTTTGGAAGCAGTGGTGAGGCTCATTCCAGCTCATCCCCATGCTATTTTCTGATACTAAAATTAATAAAAAATAGTCAAGAACAAATCAAATAAAGTCATCTAAAATGCTGATGCATTTTCAAAAATTAAGTGTTGCAATAAAACACATTCCTCATTGCAGGTTAAGCCAGATGGTTAAAGCTCTTCATGTTACCATATGGAAAGTGACATTGTGGGTGGACAAAGCATTTGCTGCTTGCACAGTGAGCTGTATGGAGGGGTTGAGATTTTGTTTCATTACCATCTGTAAAAAAACTTTTTTTTTCTTCTTTTAGTTTATTTCCATTTCCTTTTGTTAAAAACAGTTCTGTTGCCAATTGTTTTTGTTGGAACAGAAAAAGTAGTGTGAATGTAAACTGATCAAGATTCATCACTTCTCCTGCCACTTCTTACTGAAGGAGGTTTAATGTGCAGAAAAGTTGTTGATGGCTACAAAAAGCAACTTGCAAATTACCTAAGAGGCATTAAACACATAGGAATGGAGATAGATGTTGACATTTCGGCAAGGACGTACAATTTTTGGGTTTGAGTGGGTTAGAAAATGTCCACAATAGATTGTCCACAGTTTATATTTTTTATATCAATTCAAGTGCAAATCGTGAAAAAAATCTTACATTTGCATAATACTGAGAGCATGTAAACTTTTTATCATAAGTACGATTCTGAAAATGACTTAATGTTTTATGCTACTTCCCCATCTGTCACCCTGAAGTCTGAGAAAAGTCAAATGTCTTTTTTTTTTTTCTTCCATAGCTGTAATCCTCTTCCATAAGTTTTTAAATGTTTTTAATTATTTTGATGTTCAGCTTTTGTGTTTTATTTGTTGCTCTGGTGTAATTGTACTCTCCCTACTCCAAGTATGCTGAAAATAAAGAAAATTATTATGTGCATACTTCCTACGATGGGATTTAGCATGTCTTCATACACACACGTACACGCACGCATGCACGTGTGCGCGTGCACATGTGCACACACACATACACACCCAGGCATACACACACAAGTGCACCTGTTCAAGTAATTATTAACCACAAAACTGCTATTAAGGTTGAAAATAGTAAAATTGATTCTGAAAATGCCTTTTCCTGCTCAGAGAGGCATAAATTCAAGGTTCTTCTTCCAGTCTTGTGTTGTTTATGTTCCTGTTTTCACTGGTTGTTGTTTTGAAATGTCGGTGCTGTATGATTCTGATACCTGTCTGGATTCCTGGAGCGTGAAAGCAGGCGCAGCAAGCCATTATGAACTCTGCTCTGAAATCTGGGGCACTCCAGCATTTTCCCATAATGTGATCTGATAAACCTTTTGGTATTTCACGCCATTGAGACTGTCTGTTATGAACACAACTCTGATCAAAGGACGCCACATTTAAATACAAATAACTGATGAATTGTGAGCAACTTAAAGTTCTACTTTACCACTATTTTCTACTTTAAGAAAGGTTTTGAAGGATAAATTATCAATGGGAATGTTTTATTCAAGGAGGAAGTGAAACCTGGGCTCTATAGGGTAATTGTAGCCGACCGGTTGTGTTCAGGAAACTGTTGGACAGTTGTAAGGTGCAGCTCAGTTTGGCATTTGATGGAGATAGAAAAGAAAGCCAAACCAATGACTGTCTCGTTTTGTGTTATTATAAAGCACCACCAACAAGAGCTGCATGTGTGCTGGCTGTGAATCAGTGGTTTCCAGATGTCTCCAGTGCGACACATAACACGATCCCCCCCCCTCCTATTTCTTCGCCAGGCTTCCTGGTTTGAACTGTTTCCAACTCGGTCCCCTGTCCAAAGCAAAGGAAACCCATTTAGGATCAAAGAGTGGAGATGCAGAATTAATCCAAACAGCAAATTCCTCTTTGGTATCATTCAGTAAAACCACAAATGCAGATTCTGTTGTTTCCCATCCCTCTGTGTGAAAAAAGAGGGCTGTTTATCTCATGCTGCTGTCTTGGTGGAAACACAACTCTGTCACATGAGACACAGCTGATGGAGGATGCTGCAGTATTATAATTATGTGCATTTTTGTTTTTATGTTTTTCTTTCCCATCTGCAGATGCAAAATGCCCTGATGCCAAAATTATGCACAAACAAAAAAAGCCTTGAATTAACGAGTACAACCTATTTAAGATTTATTTTCTGTTTCTATAAACATTAGAATGTTAAAGGTTAGGAATGATTGCGAAAAAAAATGTCTTCTATTTTTTTAGTTAAGCAAAATATTAGTAAGACAACAAGAAAAAAGTGTTCAGATTTTAAAAAAATGATATGAAAAAAATGAAAGAATCCATGTATTATCTGTATCTGCTCTTCCTGTGAGGGTGGTGGGAGTTTGGTGCCTTTCTCCAGTAGTTATCTGGTGAGAAGCTGTTAACATACTGGACAGATCCCAGTTCCTCACAGGGCAACACTGAGACACACAACCATGCATTCACACACTCGTACCTGATGGCAGTCAAGAAAGTCCAAACAGCCTTCAGGACACGAGGAACCCAGAAAGAACCCCTACAAGCACAGGGAGAACATGCAAACTCCATGGAGAAAGACACCAGGCTGGGATTTGATCCCAGGACCTTCTTGCTGGAAGGCAACAGAGCTACCAACTGCAACCATGGAAACAAACAAAAGGCAGCTTTTTTAAATAGTCATTTTGTTTATTTACATTTGTTTTTGTTGAAAAGGATTAAATTGAAAGTGTAGAAATGATTAGATTATTTCCACACTTCCATAACAACCAATAAAACCACAGTAACCAATACAAATGTCTTTATTGACATTACTGAAGACACATCCCTTGTGTTTTTGCTATGCATGTGGTATTTTTACCATAATTCGTAGCGCTATCCACAAATTCTCAATCAGATTGAAGTCAGAACATGAAAAAAAAACAACGATGCTATTAGTTATAAAGGGGAAGCAGGAGGATCTTATGTTTCTTTCAAGGGTCCTGAAGGCCTTTGGGTTGGATTTAGTTCAATCTTATTTCCTGTGAAGAAATTAAAGATTCATTGATCTGGTCAGAGAGAAGACATGTTCATATTTGATTCTGTGATTAAGCCTGACCTCGATCGCTCTCCTCTTCACTGTCTGCAGGTGTTTGCCGTTGTGAGCCTCCTCCCCTCGGCCTCCTTAGCAGATTTGACGTGTGAAGCTCTGCTGGCAGGGAATGTCTCACGTAAGTCATAGACGTGCATTAACTCGACGCTTATTACGCCACTGCAGTCTGGGGTTTTTTTGTTTTTTGTTTTTTTTTTTACAAGCAGCTATTTCCCAGAGCTGTCAGACCTGAGTGTTTGAGCTGCTTGGCTGTTAGCACACTTGTGGGATTAAATTGATTTTCTGTCTTTTCTTTTTCATGTCCATAACCTCTAAATGCCAAAACCTCATCTTCAGTCTCAACTTTGTCCTCTTGAATATTGGCTAAATGTCTTTTTGTATTGTTTAATTTCCTTGTAGAGCTCACAACTAAACACAAACTGAGGAAAAGCAGGAAATATAAAGATCTTTATTTCTTTTTCAAAACAAAGATGCCCCAGGTTGTTCCAAATGGAATCATAATAAGTCTTTGTTTTTCATAAGCATAGTCTTGTGTAAAATTCAAACCATCTGATGACCTTGAGGAAAAATACCATAGTCTGTTCTTCTAAATGTTAATTACTTTTATTTCAAATCATAAATGCAAATATAACCACTGGTGCTAAAGAGTATCTTGCTGTCATAATAAGTAGCACCAATTGATTAGCCAGAGATCAATATTTGGAAGGGGAAATATGTGAAAATCTATTTTTTTCTTTATTGACACACTAGTTTTATTTTAAATGCATGAAAAATATTCTTTTGGCTGCAAAAAAGATATGTCACTAAATTTGTGTGCTTACTTTTAGAGAAAGAAATGCCTTTTATGCACTTTTTTGTGCTTTGTTATGTAGGTGCTAAAATGTTCCATTCATGGACAAATGATGCATAATGAACCAGTAGATGATTCCTGCAAACTAAATGCCAGGATGATTGTTTATCTGTGCCTTTCCTCAACGACCCATTTTCTGATCCAACACCCACATTGGCAGGATTACAGGGACATCCAATCCTCCAAATTAAACCACACAATGCATCCCACTGTGCAGCAGAATGATACTGAGACTCGATGGCGTAGCTCTCACATATCCCTAAATATCTCCACTTAAAAACAGACTAAGCTGTGAAATGACTTGCGTACCCAATTTATTTATATTGCCGTATAATGTCACGCACAGCAGAAGTCCATGTCTGATGCTTCAATAACTTAAGACAACAATGTTCAGACAGTAGTTCTGCGCTATTAATTTTCTGACCTACACCATTAGTTTTACAGCCTTTTCTTTTCGGCAGCGTTGAGCTTGTTGCTCATGATAATCATATTTGTTGTCATGTCATCAATGGAGACATGTATAGACACGCAAGACAGAAAACAAACAAACAAACGATGTTGGAATGCAAAAAACACAGAGGGCACAACAGAAAAAATAGTGATGCAAAACACTCTCACTTTAACATTGGTTCATTTAGTGAAGAGTTATAGTCCAATTTAATTAATGAGGAGGAGGGATTCTGGAGAAAAGTTGTCTGAAAGACCAAAAGTTGCCTTGGAGACAAAACAAAGTGGCACCCTTTAGAGGTCTTTAAAAGCTCTCTATTAAGCCAAGTGGTGTAATTAGAAATCCATCCAGCGGTTGTGCGAGTGTAACGTTTTTTTTGCGTAACTAGTCGTCATTGTACATGTGAAGGTTTAACTTTACAACACCATGTATGCCTGGAAGTGTTCCAAAGACTGTACCACTTAAGATATGTGCTGCAACTCTGTTTTCAGGTAGTTCTAAAAATTTACTTCATGCTAATGTGTGTGATGGATGGGAGGGAAGCTAAAATACAGAGATCACTGATAGACTTTGTTTTCTCATTTATTTGGCTCAGACATAGAGGAAATAGACATGCTGCTGCAGCTAGCTTTTGGGGCAAGACACAGGGGAGCATTTGTAAGTAAGTTGCTAGTTTTCATGCAGTCTGCAGAATCCAGTAGGTGTTTAGCAACAGATAATACAGGAGAAGTAAAATTTGTAAGAGAAAGCATTTTCTTACCTGACAAACTTTATGCTCACAAACAATAACCAAGATCACCTCAAAGGTCTGTCTGTTGACTCCCATGTATGGCTAGCAGATTTAGCTTAGGCATAAATTATGTTGAGTTTTCCTTCTTTAGTTCTGAGTTCCTTGTTCTAAATCTATCGTTCCAGTTGTTTTAAAAATCTGGGCCAAAATGTATTTTAAACAGAGAGAAATGAGCGTTTCCTTCTCAGATACTTTTTGACTCCTTTCAACCTTTTCTGTTACCAATAAGTGGTTACATATCCAATTGAAAATGTCTTTTTTTTTTATCAATGTGTCAGTGAGTTTATCTTCAAGATGATGTCAATAAATAAATGACTTTGTATTCCAGATATGGAAGTTGTTTGTATACATTTTTTTTTTTTTTGTGATATAAAAAACTCTTTCTATGTGTGAAAATAATGTACGCTTACAAATGGTGGAAAGACAGATGGGAATTGTTCATATTTTTATCTTTTTCAGATTTTCTAGCTTTTCAAGTTTAATAGATTTTGATGAAAAATTTAATATTAGGTTGTCCCTTAGAGGGTTTTTATGTTTTCTGTCATATTGGTACTTTGGAAATTGTAAAGTCATGTTCCAGGAAACAACTTGTTTTGTTTTTGTCTATGTTTAGGACATTTTTTTCATGTTTTTCGCACCACATACGTGTGAAAACACTGTTTACAGGAAGAGGTGAAGAAAGCTCAAAATTGAGTGCCACCTTTTGCTCTAGGGGAGGATCCCTTATTTCCGGATTCTGCTTATCCAAATCCTGTGGAGTTATTGCAGAAATAATGGCCTGACCTTCAGGGCACGTCTAGATTCATATTTGCAGGTAGCGTCCTGGAATTGCTCCAGGAAAGGTCCGTCACCGATGTTTACCGCTACCCTTCATTCCTTATCATTTCTGGCTGTTAAGAAAAATCTAATAAGACTTTTATAACCTTGAATAAAATGTGCAAATGAAGACTGGGTTTGCTGATGAAGCTGTTTCCCTTTGGATTGCAGTGCAGTCCCTGGTCGCCGCCTGGAACCAAACCTTGAGCAACACCACAAGCCAGTGGAGCGGTGAGTCGGACACGTTGCACCCCTCAGATGTGCTAAACCGATTCCCCACAAAGTCACTACAAAGCAGAGTCACTGTGGAATACCACACAGGGGAGCCGAGTTAGACACAAACCAAGATTATTAAAACTAACATCAAAGACGGGAGCTGTGCTGGAAATAGATCGGGCACCGGAGACGATGTCCTCAGCTCAGCGAAACAAAGCACAGGAGTAATCATTAAAACCTGTGCACACACGAGCGCGATGTTCAGCTCCATGGCTTATTTCCAACACTACTGCTGCATTGTCAGGGTTTCGTGATGTCTATTTGTAGTCGGAAATGTATGAACAACTGCTGCGGCCTTTTGTTTTCTGCTCATCATTCAGGCTCAGGAATCTACTGCGAAACCTCCATCGATGGCATTGGTACCTGCTGGCCAAGGAGCAGCGCTGGCCAGATGGTGTCCCGGCCCTGCCCCAAGATGTTTTTAGGTGTCAGATACAACACCACCAGTAAGTCCTGGCTGTCACATCCTCCCAGTAAAAATCAAGCACAGCAGATTAAATCCAAGATTCACAGTGCTGTGGAAAAGTTCGTACCCCTTCACAAATGTTTCATTTTGTTGTGCTTAAATCTTTCAGATGATCAAACTAAATTTAATGTCAGGCAAACATCCAAGTAAATCCAAAATAGAGTTTTGGTACTATGATTTTATTCACTAAGGAAAATAAGCTATTCAAACCAACTGTATATACCTATGTAAAAGTCAAAGGCTCATTAACCTCATAATTGATTATGTTGGTAAATAATGTCATCAAAGGCTTGTGAAAACTGCCACTGCTACTTTTGCATCACTATGAGCTCCTGTTCATGTAGAATGGTTTTTATTTAGTTACATTGAAGTTGTTTTTTTAGCATAGATTGCCTGTTTAAGATCACCTTACAGCATTTAATATACATTTAAAAGTCCAGACTTTGACTATACCACTTGAAAACCCTCAGTCAGAAGTGGACTTCTTTGACTCCTTGTCCTTCTGCATAATTCAAGAGTGTTTTAGCTTAAAGTCATATGAATACTATATATTCTTATAAGTCATAGTTCTGTCAATCACCCCAATTCATCCAGGGGCTAAAGCATTCCCAGATAATCATCACACTACCACCATGTTTTACTGTCTGTATGATGTTTACCTCGCTGAGATCAACTGGAGTCCCAAAGACTTGTTACAATAGATGACAATTTGTTTGTTTCTCATCTGTTTTTACACTTATTTAGTAATCTATATAACTTAGTTCTTAGTTCTTTCTTGAAAGTTTTAGATCACTTCATTCGTGATGCAAAGAAGTTCAAGAACAGATGGGTAAGGGTCTGACATGTTAATTTTGCGATCTTTCCACCTACTTCATGCTGTCATACAAGTTGTGTTTAGGTGATTTCTTGAACCTGCTGCCCTGGTTGTGGCTTTTGTAGTTTCACCTGTTGAAGTTTCAAATATTCCCTTTAAACCATGATTTAACATTGTTTTGTTTTGGTTTTTTTTTTCATTATTTTGGAGCAGCTTAGGTTGGTTAACATTTTTTTTCCCATTAATGAATAAAAAATAATTTAAGAACGGCATTTTGTTTTTGCTTCACTGATCTTTCTCTGATATAAAAATGTGTTTGTGGATCTGAAACACTTAAGTATGACAAGAAAGTAAAAACCCAAGAAATTTGCAAATTTCACAGCACGATAAATCGGCCTCTCTAACACCCTCTTCTCTCCACTTTTACTCTATGGCCAAATCCTGTTTTTGTGTCCAGAAATTACCATGAGCATATAAATTAGTGAGAAGACATGTGGAATTTAAAAAAGATAAAGAAAACAGATCATGGGTTATTGAAGCTGGAATTGCTCATAGGAGATCAAATCAACATGACTGAAGAAGTACAAAAGAAAAACCAACTATGAAAAAGTGTTTCTGTCAGTCCTAAATGGCGAAAGGAGGAAAAGGCCATATCTTAAAATTGAAGCTGAATTACTGACGTCTGAAGCATTTAAGCCTGATAAGTCTCTGAGGTCTCTGAGGTCTCTTCACTCATTTGTGTTTGTTATTGTGTCAATAGAAAGAAAATCAAGTTAGGAATTAAAAATCTAATTATTCCTCTTCTATTTATAGCCAAAGTTCTTCTGAAGAAATTGCATTAGTCTGTTGCACATAAACCATGGGCAGTTTGTTTCTTCATTGAGTTTTTATATGATGAGAGATTTGAGGTTTGCTACAGAATATGTGGTTAGGTTTAATAATTTATCACCTTCTTTATTGTTTTCAATAAAAAAAAACAATTTAAAATTCTAGTGCAGAATTGTCTAATTTCCATTTATTTTTAGAGCTTGTGGGGTTGAACTTTTTTTGAACTTGCTTGTAAAAATGTTCAGACTAAAGTCGTTCTAACTGAAGCTACCATGCTGCATCAACTTTGCAAATTTAATTTGATGCTGTCTGAGAGAAAATTTCTTCTCAAAATTAATAATTCAGATATACATTTATCAGCTGTCACAAGCTGTTTTTTTTTTCTCACTTCACATCTCTGTGTGTATATCATCATGAAAAATTGTGGTCCTGAATGGGATTTACCTGCTTCTGTAAAACAGAAACTACTGCACATTCTTCTTTTACTACTCTTTATATATGGACAATAATATGGAAAAAGGACCCAAACACAGGACCTTTTGTGAACTGGGGTAACTGTAGTTACCATTCACAATATACAAATCTACAACATCTGGATCTGCATGGTTCAATGAACGACTGCATGGATTCCCATCGTTATATTTCAGATATTATGTCTGTGTTTTATTGACGGGCATTCGAAAGGTTTTTATAATTCAGTTCATGATTTTTGATTATTGCTCAACAGATTTTGACATATTCAATTCATTAGTATTGCTTTAAAGGTCTTGTCTTAGATGTACTTTTATTTATTTAATGTCTACAATCTTTTGGTGTTTGTTATTTTCTCTTTGATTGCTATAATATTCTTCTCCCTTCATTCGTTACTTCTTTCTGTCCTCGTTCAGCCTTTCTGTATTTATTTATCATTCCTATTGCCTCAGTCTGCCTGTTTGCCTTCTCTCCCAACTGCACCATGTTTCTAATCAGCCACCTGCCTCTTGTCAGCGCTCACACTCTATTGAAGCTCCTGGATATTCATTGTCTGTTGCTGGAATCTCTCTCTACTTTTTTGTCTGTCACCTGGTTCATTTGCGTCCCATGTTTCAAAACTCTGCATTTGTTCTAGTCTACTAAAATATTTACCACAGTTCTGCCCTGAATTTAGTCTTTTTTTTTCTTTTTTTTATCAACGTAATAAAAGCCTTTCATTTCTGAAACACTTTCCTATTCTGTTTGCACTTGCATATAATTGTTTGAAAAGAAGAAAGTGGCTTTCCATAGGAGTCTGGAAATTGTACCCAAGGATAACATCAGACTTGTGGACATCACTCACATGTCTTGGTTGAGTTAGTCATCTGTTTGTTTGCTTCTTCTTTGAGATGACAAATAAATGCAGCCTAAATGTTTAAATGACCTGCTGTTTAATGGGAATGTATGACCAATGTTGGTGTCTTTATCTTGGTTTAGTCTCTACCACTTTCTGAAGGACATTCACACTCCTCTCTTTTCTTTGTGACGTAAAACATAAGTGAGTTTTTCTATCTTTTTTCTTTGAAAACCACAGCCAGCTGGAGTGCAAAACTAAGCTGAGGGTGCAAAGGGTGAAGGAAAATCAGAGGAGTTGAATCACAGGAAAAAAAACAAACAATGACTTTAAGGTATCTGTGCTGCTCTGAAGTTGGAAAATGCTGCAGAGTTTGGAAACAACTAAGATATAAACTATTTCCGTGATACAATTGGAAAAGTATCGTAATGTGCAACAAAATTGTTTTGTGTATCCAGACAGAAAAAAATTGCAATAATGCAAGACTTTTCTGCAGCTAGATTTTTGAAAGGAAAGTGCATGGCATTTCATTCTTGTTCAAATAAATGCGGTAAGCAGAAAAACTGATTCCTAAAGTTAAAATGTGGGTCAAGCAGAAGCAGCCAAGTGCATCTGGTCAAACACATCTGATTTACTGACGATCCGGATGGCCGAGCAACTCCATAAAAGCAGAGGTTTAGTTTGTGTGGAGAAAAATACAACAGCTTTAACACATCATCATACCTCACCCTGAAGCCATGTTCAAATATCTCTATTCCAAGATTGTTTTTTTTTTTTCTGAGAAAAAAAATCTCTGCATGTGTGATTTGATAGCTGTGAGCGTTGCTCTGGGATAATAGTGTGTTTCATTTGAACTTTAAAGCCAAACTTGTTCAAAGTCACAAATCAACTAGAATGTCACTCAAAGTATAAATTATTCGAGATGCAAAATCAGCTACAAATATCCAGCAATTGGTTATTTTTAATGGCTGATATTCTCCTTATCAGTGTTTAGTAGAGTGGTATCATTCAAGGATCTGATTAATCCAGGTGTTCTGTTTAAAAAACCCGATCTGATCATCGAGCCTGGAAAAAAAAGGTTTTATCTCAACATTCCTTGTTGAGGAATGTTAATATGCATCAACACCTCAGAGGAGAACTTTTCTGTGCAAACGCTCAGAAATCTGTGTCTGCTCGACGTTTTTCCTCACCTGATTCCAGCTAGCAAAAGCCTCACTTATTTTCTGTTAGACTGACACTCTGTCCCAGGTGGGACCGAAAGACTAATCTCAACTTTTTACTTCCAAGTCTGTCCAACAGAACTTTTTTTTTTCCTTCCTCAGAGTAATCCAGGCCAAATTTAACAGCTATATGAGCTTTACGAGTGACTGATGTTTCCAATCAGACATAATTTGTTGTCTGTTGTTCTGGAATTGTGTAATTATGGAAGAGAGAAGTTGAACACTTCACTCTTTTTCTTTGTTTCAGCTAGAAACAAATCAGATTAATAGAGTTTCCAAGAGGTGAGTGAAGTCTGAATAACCGTTATGACCTACTTTGTTAGATAAGTGAACTTAGCTTGGCTAAGCATGAAGCCAGGTATTTACTTTTTTGTTAATCTTCAAAGTATTTTTCATAAATTACATACCCTTGTAAGTAATTATGATTTATGTTTACAAACATTAAATATGCATAAGTATAATTACTTGGGGAAAAAAAACAGATTTAAACTTTTATTCTGTGACTCATGATGTGACAGGAAGGAAACCATCTTGAGTCTTGATGGTTGAGTCTTTTTGGGGAAATGAACTATTAAAGAATTTTGCATCGAAAAGAAAAACAAAACATATAAACTGATAATGTTGTACACTTTATTTTATTTCATCTGTTTTACCAGCTTTGTGCGATGGGCTTTTTATTTTTATTGAGCTCTGATTCACTTTTTTTTTCAGTAAACAGCTTTAAAATCTCTCTATGCGTATAGTAAAGTTTCTGTGCATGAAAGTTTGAATAAGTAATTCAGCTCTTTCGTGATTAAATCAATAAACTGTGA